TAAATATTGAAATTAAATGTAATCAAATACAACTGATTTTTTTTAGAGAGCAATATTTAATTCAAATCAGGCTAATGTGAAATCCGCTGTTGCTTCTTTTCAAGAATACCTGATAGTCATGACTGCAGTGTTGTTTCCAAGAGATGAAGCACTGCACTGACATCCATTCTGTTTCTCTGTTTGGTTTTTATCAGTGACAGGTCTGAAAAACTCTTTCCACACAAATATGTGGTAGAAAATACACATAACAATTTAATAGCTCTCTAACTTGGAGATGGATATTCTTTTTCCAGTGATATCCAAAATGTGACAATGCTTACATTTTATATTTGGACACCAGAGTGACTTCAGAGCTCTTTCCCACCTCCTGCTAGGATCAGCTCAGTTCCGCTGGTGACAGCAGCAGCACTGAGCGAGGGGGAAGAGCAGGCTAAGCGTCAGTTGCTGCCCTTACATGCAGCTCTGAATGGCCCGGCCATCCCTCTGCAGCTCCTCCATGACACTTGGTGGCTCTCTGAATGGCTCTGCCCCTTGTGTGGAGCCACGCAAGCTCTTTCCCACCTCCAGCTATGATCAGTTCCACTGGTAACAGCAGCAGCACTGAGCGAGCGGGAAGAGCATGCTGAGCATCAGCTGCTGCCCTTACACCCAGCTCTGAGAATGCTGCCACCACTCCTGCCCCCTCACCACCCCGTGCAAGTGGCCCCAAGCTGCCTGGCTCTGGTCTTGCACTGCCTGATGAGGCGAGCAGTGTGGCCATCTTCCAGGTGTTCTGGTGTGACAACACAGTCTGCTATTGGAACACAGGGCTGGCACGCTCCGTGGTGTGGGTTTAGTTGCATGGTTGGCTGTGGGGTGGCATACTCTTGCCACAAGACCCAGCCGCCCCTCTGTAGCTCCTCCACAATGCTTGGCTCCACAGGGCATTGCGCCCCCACCCTCCAGGGCTTCCTCATCAGGGCTTTTTCGCGGACTGGCAGGAAATCTCTGTTGTACTGGCATTGGTCCGCAGAGCAGTGGTTGAAAACCACTGGTCTATGAGACCCCTTCAAAGGCAACTCCATATACAGTGTGTTACACTAACCCCAACTGAATTTGACTAAAGCACAAACCACTGCACCTAGATCAGATTTATTCAGGAAAGTGCATGGCTGACCTATCAGACTAGGGTCAAGCTACACAATGTATTAAATACAGAGTTTGCAGCTGATCTCTTTTTCTTACTGACTCTGATCCTGAAGTGTGTGGGAGCCCAGTCTGAATACAGAAACTATGTATTTGGGTAGAGGATATTGAATTCTCTTGTTCCAGCCACTTCTTTTTTTAAATTTGTCTTCATGGAAATCTCTTATTTTATTCTCTTCTCTTCTTCTCCCCCCACCCCCCACTCTTTCTGTGATTTTATAAAACAAGTGGCTGTGAGGGCAGCTAGAAAAACAAGTGCCTGTGTGTGGTAGCCCCAAACCAGATCAGAGCCCCACGTAAATACAGCAAATATAAGAGAATGAGCTTCTTGTTACTTTCCCTTGGGTTTGTTTATGCTTCAACAAATACCTTTCTCACATAAAACAACAGAACTTTCTATCTTAACTCTTACATGCCCTATAAAAATACAAATTTAATAGTTTATTTGCTTTTCAGTATTAATCTACCACAACTAGAAATAGAATTTCTTTACACTAGCAAGTTACTGGAACAAAGTATCCATAAATTAAACAATGAACAAAAATAAAATAATCCTTCTGTTACTTGCAGTGCTTCCATTCCATTTCTGCTAAAACACTTGCTCTGTATTCATTCCAAATTGGATAAATAATGACAGATTTCACTAAACTATTATTTTATAAAAGTTATTTCTTCTGCCTTTCCTTCTTCATAGAGTTTGAGAGAGTTGGATATCCTGGATATGAACATGAGAGTTGAACAAATGTTAAATAAACAAGAAATAACAATAAAGAAAGGAAAAGCAAGCAAGATAAAAAAGAAAGATGAGAAATAACCACATCATATATAACACCTCGGAAATTTCTGAAGTCAGAGTGGGAGATGGCTTACAAGTTGTTGTTATGATTCAAAAGACCGCTTGTATGACCCCTCCACCCCACTGCTTTGCAGGCATGATCTCATTCTTGAAGTTAATTGGTCTGTTTTCAGTGCCATGAATTGCTGGGTGTTTCCAAAGGACTGCATTTGTATATTGCTGTGTTGATCTTTCCACACCCAATTCTACGCTATGCAAGGAATGATCTTAAAGTTAATCTTTCCAGATTTCTTTTTCTTTATAATGAATTGTGGTGCTGAATCTGCTTACTGAAACCTCTTGGCTTTACCTACCATTATCTGTCCTGCACTTTTGTTCTGCACCAGCCACCACTGTCCCAAATTAAGACTAACCCAACCTGACAATTTTTAAAAGGACTAAAATGCCTGAAAAAATATAATAATAGGGTATTCACCTGGCCACAATGTACAATCCAAGTAGACCTCTCTGGAGAAATTATTCTACAATCAGGGTGCCATCAATGAAAAGGCCACTGTCTAGTTATCACGTGCCTTACCTCATTCAATTATAATTTCATGAATAGAAATGAACTGTCTATCACTTCACTTCACTTAATAACATCATAAATGGTGATATTACAAATAAAGAAATTGCTTTAAATTTGACTTCTTTTTAAAGTCTTATCACACTAGCTCTTTAACTAAATGGCTCTTAGAACATCTAATCAGATTTTCCTGTTGTTTATAATAGCCAATTTCCTTTTTTGTTCCTTGTTAAAAACATTTTTCTTCACTTGAGACAAGGGGAAGCCACACTACTTTCTCAGAAATGTCACTTAAACACAACAATGATCATTTTTTTCAGAACTTGAAAGTAACTGAGATCTCATATGTTCTCAAAATGAGATCCTCTATTTAATCATACTATTCAAATGTAGTCACTAAAGTAAGAACACATACATGGCTCTCTGTGCTTTATGTTTGCTCTTGCTGTGGCTAGACTGGATGGTAGAACTGGGGTGCAATCATATGCATGTTTATACAGAAAAGGCTTTAGGGCTTTTTTCTTTCTAAACATGCATAGAATTATGCACACAGCAGTGTAAAAGAAAAGTTAACCTTTAGATTAATACCAAGGAGTCTCAGGTTCTATCCTTGACTATGGTTTTTTCATAATAGTTTTGGTTACAATGAAATTTTGGGTGATGCTTCATTTAGATGCAATCCTATGCATAGGCAGTCAGCACTTTAATTTCATTAAAGATTAAACATAGAAACAGAGCGAGAAAGAAGGGGTCTCCTAGGCCATCTAATCTGACCCTTGGCTCTAGCCGGTTCCACTCACAACATGCCTACCATGTGCATGTCCAGCCTATCCTTGAACACCCGCACCGATAGGGCCTCAACCACCTTCGGTGGAAGCCCATTTCATTCCCTCGGGGTCCTAACTGTCAGGAAGTACTTCCTGGCATCCAAATTGAACCTTGGTTCCGTTGGAGCGCGTCCTGCCCTCCTCTGCAAGGGAGAACAGGTCTCTACTCTTAGTTGCTGAACGAAGGGCAAGAGAGCCAATATTAGAGTGGAAGAAAAAGAATAGGGTTTGACCTCCTCTTCTGTCAAGAGACAGATCTCCAAGACTCCATGGATTTTTTAATATGTAATTTTCTAAAAGATTTGGACTGTTTTATTCTGCACCCAAATCGAAACAGCTACAATGAAATAAAGTCAAAGCTAATTTTTGCACAAAACATGCTCTACAGTTCATGGAAAATGTAAGATTCTGAATCACACAGCATGAGATAGTCATGATTTTTTTTGTAGGTTGGATTCAAAAAAACCATTCACATATTAATTAGCAAGAACAAACATTTTTGAGCAGATTTACATAATATGGGGAGATTTATCTTCAATAAATTTACATTGCTAATTTGTATAGGTACATCTTGTGGATCGCTACATGGCCTTGAGTGCAGACCCACCTGTGATCAGCAGCCTTTAAGGTAAAATGCTATGTCTGTGTGCATACAAAAGTATTGTGTATACTGAGGGAGCTGACATTAGCAAAAGACTGTAATGGCAGACCAGCTTCAAATGGTCAGACTTATGAAACTTTACCTGAGTAGATGAATCAAAGGAGTTGAAGGCACTCACGTCATGTTCCCACAAAACCCTACTTTTTGTTTTTAAGCTTCTACAGAAGCTTAAAGGTCTGCTATCTGTCTTTATGGGCCACTTCTTGGAGCCAAGAACCCCACGTTTTTCCATGGGCACACACAAAACAAGAATATACTGTTGATTAATTCCAGAATATTCAAGGGATCTCTGCAATGATGTCATCTGTTTATGCAGTGGTAACAAGAAGCCAGTTGTCCCACTCTGGATAGCTTTTTGTGTGCTATCTTAATGTCACACTAAACAGGCATTTTCTCCTTGTTCTCAGTCCTAACACACTGTATCCTTTGTTGCTATGTTATACACTCTTACCTGGTAGTAAGTGCCATTGAACTCAATGGGCCTTACTTTTGAATAGACATGTCTGGGTTGGCCCCAAAGTAATCTCAGTGAATTCATACTGAGGAAAAATGTGCTGCAGTTAGCATGGCATACTTTAAAAAAGCGCCACGCTCCATGTAACGGTTGCTGGCTTGCTGGGGCTAGACTCCGCGGCTGCAGATGCCAATTTCACATCCCAGCTCGTTGTTGCGTAATTCCCTGTCGGTTCCTCCAGGCGAGCCAAACCAGCGCAGTATGAAAAACAAAAGAGCTGTCCGCCTCTTCGGCGGGATGTTTCAGCGTAGCACCCCCTCCCACGGTAGGCTCTTGTTTTTGTGCCAAACACGTTACTAGCAGCTTTTTCCGGCCCTTCCGAGGAAGCCTAGCTGACATTCGCTCCGCCATGCGCCTGTTCGAGCGCGCCGCCGTTGCCCTTTTAAGACGAGCCGTGTCAGGCCTGTGACGTCAGAAGAGTGCAGAGATCTAGTCGTTGCCGCCGCCGCGGAGGTTTGCCTTCTTTCTGTTATTGCAGGCAAAAGGCTGGGAAAAGGAGGCGTTGCGTTTGCTCCGGTGGTATTGATCGCTTTTTGCTCGGGCTGGAACTCGTCGGGACGCTGCATGCCAGTCTGGGCCGCCCACCCGCCAACCCACTCCACCCTCCGCTTTCCGTTCCCTTCCTTTTGGCCGGGAAGAGTTTTCTTTGTATTTCTGCTTGGCAATGCACAAGGATCGCGCAGACACAACGGCCAGCGGCAGGAGGAACTTCCCAAGCAGGAACCTAATGGCTGCTAAAGGAAAAATCTAAAGACCAAAGTCTCTCTACCCCTACCCCGTATCGCCCCATCCTGCCAGGGGAAGGAGGGCTGCCAAGCGAGCTAGAGGAAGCTGGTAACCATGGGTTGGCACTGATGCCTGCTTGCCTGCCCCCGGTGGGAGAATTCAGAGGTTCTCCCTCCCCAGGGGCTCTGCAGACGGAGAGTGTGTGACAGCAGCCGCAGCAAAAGAAGCAGAAGTAGAAGAGGAGGAGGAAAGGAAGGAAGGAACAAAACCCTCAAACCAACAACTCCCCAAGCAGTGCTTTGAACTTCCCTTGGACTCTCGATTGCACTTTTCCTTGCAGATTTTATTTTCATAGAGATTCATTCTCCTTATCCTTACTGCAGTTTTGGAGAGGTGTGTTGTAGCTCTCTCTTTAAAATCGATCTACACACGCACACAGAACTATTTTTGGCCAGTATCATGGCGATGAAGGGGGCTGCCGCAAGCACCGGGATCTTGTTAGTAACCGCCAACGTTGGATCCTTGTTTGATGATGTAAGTAGCAAAGCTAGAGAGAGACCGATGATTATTATTATTATTCTGATTCTTGCACCCTGGTGATGCCGGTGGCGAGTACCTCGGCTTTATGGGCAGCTCTCTCGAAAGTGACACAGGTGGGCCCTGCTACCTGCGGATGGAGGTTGGCGGCAGGCATTTCTAGGGATTTAGTGCGTTATTGGAAAGAGTGCGTGTCGCTCCGCTTCGCTCCCCCTGCCGGAGCGGTTGGTGATCATAATCGCACCAGCCTACTTCCTTGGTGGCTCGGCACGGGCGGACCGGGGGGGGGGGGGAGGAGAGGTCGGCCGATATCATTCCAGTGGGTTTTCCCGGGTCCTAGAACTCATGCCAGGCGTCGTTGCGAGGAGGGCACGCAGTGAGTTCTTTCTCCCGCTCCCCTATATACCAATTGTGCTGTCGGGGCCGGATTTAGGGCGGTCGCTGCCGCCGCCGCCAAATGAAGCCCGTGTTTTCTCTCCAGGATTGTCGCCAGCGGCGACGCCTTGCGCGTCAGAATGGGGATTCCCTTTGGGCTGCCCCGTGCATTGCAAGCCGAGGATGGGGGCGGGAAGAGGCGTTCCGCTTCACCTTCAAACGCACCTACCTGGTTCAGCTCGTCACGGCTAAGCCTGCCCTGCCTCCTCCTCTTCAGGAAGACGGGGTTGTGGAAACAGTGGCCTCTTGGCCGTGGAGAGGGGGCAGGCCCTTCCCTTCGGCCCACGCTCGCCTTCCTTGGCTAAATGTTCCTTTTCCGCGCTCGTCCGGGGAAGCTGACCGCTGTGTCCCAAGACCTCTCCCGTTAACCATTCAATTTGTTCCTTTCAATAGATAGAACGTTTTTCTTGTGCCATCCATACCTATGTCCCGTTCCACCATGTGCTTTTGCTAAAAACTACAAACTCTGACTAGAGTGGGGATACTTGAAACGAGAGGGCTTTGCATTCCTTAGATAGGTTTTTTTTTCCCTGACAGAAAACCAAGATGTGTGGACTCAGTTAGTGCCCTGATAAGGCTTGTACTGAATGGAGCAAGGTCTGTCGTGAACATGGGAATTAAGGACTGTGTTTAGGGATTGTCCTGTAAATGCATGATGCCTTTTTTAAGGCCTGGATCACATTGCATCATTTGTTGACTGGCAAATATATTGGTTAATTGACTACTACATGACTGGGTTTTTAAAGTAATTTGAGGAAGATATTACAGTTCTTTCAGTGAAGTTTAGAATTAGGGTTAGGGTTAGGGGTTACCTGTGACTAGACTGTTTTGATATGCTAACTGCACAGTGATTTTATATGGATGTAATTTTTCTTTATTTATAAAAAATACCTAATATAAATACCTAAAAAATACCTAATAGTAAACTGCAGGGTGGACATATGTAAGCATGCTAGGAGAATACCCAAGATGACTGGTCAAATCAGTCAATTACCCAAAATTGCTTAAGAAGCACCAAATGAATCACCTTAACTGGAGCTGAATCTTGCAGTCCTATGAAGAGTGGGCCAGATCTACTGTTTGAGTAAATGCCTATCTTGAAGTAACTTACTAACCAAGTGTAAACCAAAATGACTAGTCTTTTTGAACATGTGTGGCAACATAGCTTTCAGCGTGAAATCTGATTTTAATAATGCTATTAAATTGTATTCTGGTCCTGGGTATGCCTTTTAGGTGTATAAAATAGCAAGCAGCCTTGCTTTAGCTCTGTAAGCCAGGTCTGGTTTTTGCCTTGATAGAGCACCTGGGGAAGTCTGTACACAGCTCTTGATTTCTTGATAGAAGAAAGACAAGATAAAAGTATAATGAAATTGAACATGCATAATAATTTTAAAGTGTTTTTGACACTGCAAATTTTTGTTGCAGCTATAACACTCACTTCATACATTCCTCAGTAGTCTTAATGTCATAGAATGAATATGGGTTCTGTTTGTGTAGATTCACAAATATGTTTACTCAAAACTAAGTTCCACTTGATTGAATTGTGACTTAATCTTTTAAAGTGTGTGCATAAGATTGTACGTAGGTTTAGTTTTTAAAGGTGCAATTTTGTGTATAGATGGAAAGAAATCCTAACGTTCCCAGTATTCTCCAACTGATCCTCAAAAACCTGCAGCTAGTGCTGCTGGCCATGTTCTTTGAGTTGTATTAAACCTCCCAATAGTAATTTCAGGCCCTTCAGAATGCCACCTCCAGGCTCACAAGCTTGTTCAATGCTTAAAGGAATCATCTCAGTGACAGAGTTCTCTGTGGTTCCCAATTTTCAATAAAAGCTATTCTGTCATTTACTTGTAAATGACTGGCCCTATAGGATGCCAGTGACTGCAGTGCAGCAGGAAATTGGGGAATGGTATCTAATTTGGGTAGAAAAATCTTCAGGACCTCTACTTAGTTGGATGGCTGACAAATTCCAAGAAAAACTAGAAACACCTTGAACTTTTATGAATTGGATCTAGTTGGGTTGTACATACCTCTTTGGATAGGGGATTTTTCCTTGAGGGTACAATTCTGTGCATGTTTCAACAGGAAAAATATCCTACGACTCAGCTAGCATTGGCCAGTGAGGGAATGCTGGGAGTTGTTTGAAGTGCTTATTTATTTATTTATTTATTTATTTATTAAATTTCTACCCTGCCCATTAGTCAGGACGACTCTTTGGACAACTTACAGAAATATAACACAGCAATGTACACAATGAAACAGTAATATCTAGCTTAAATGCTTTCCCTAGCTTTGTGCCTTCCAGACACATTTGGACTGCAACACCCATAATTCTCAGTCAATTCTCAGTCCTGCTGGATGGGACTTCTGGGAGTTGTGGTCCAAATGCCTCTGAAGGCCACCGGGTTTGGGAAGGCTGGCTTACAATGATAAAATAACAAGAAAATGCCACAATAAACCCCCCTTTCCATTGAAATGCATAGGATTGTACCATTAAAACCTTAGGCATGAGACGAAGCTGCAGGGTACAAAAGTTGCTCATTGAGACATTTGTAGCTGTATGCAAATGATGGATAAGCTTCCTTGTCATAATTTATGTGGCTTGAGACAAATCCCATAATTCTCTGCAGTAGCACATAGAGTATGCATTTTCCATTCTTCTAAATCTCTCTTCCCACCCCAACTCTCATATCATTTAGTGCAGCTTTGAAGTCAGAGAAGTGCCAAGCTTCTGAGACCTTAATTCTGGCATGAAAAATATACCTTCCTGTAAAACATCTGATTAAGCCAAAGAATCCTTCTGGCTTAGACCAATGGTCCAGAATCCTGTTTCTGATAGTGGCCAACCAGATGCCTACAAGCAGATTGTGAAGCAATGCTAGCATTTGGTATTAAGAGGTAGATTATGTCTCAGCTGTTTAGGTATTATGCCTTATATTTGCTTTTTGAAGTAAACCAAATTGAAATAGATAGTAGTTACTTCTGATTAAAGATGCATATTTGTATTAAAGGGTTGCTTTTGATAAGTTTGTATAACACTTTTCTGAAGCCATTTAAAGTAGTGACCTTCACTCCACATCCTGTAGCAGTGTGTTCCATGTTCATGATTTGTTGGGTGAAATAGTACGTCCTTTATTCTGCTGTGAACATGTAACTCAGCTGTACTTCTTTTATTTTAATTTAATTTAATTCACTTGTATACCTGAGTGAGACTGTTGAATCACATCTGTTCTGCATAGAAACTACTAATATATATTTAAAATAATAGATCTATGGCAATGTTTGTGAATAAGAACAAAATAGTTTTAGTTGAGAGAACAGAAGGACCAAAAGAACATTGGTATTTCTAAAGAAATTTAAATCGATAGCAAATTTGTTTTGCTGATTTAAGTGTGACAGGATTAAGCATTATATGAGAACATTTTTCAGTTGTATAACCATGTATTAGTTGATCTAAAGCTTTTGTGATAATTGTATAAATATATCAAGAATGACTGAACTTCGTCACAGAAAACAGTTTTTCAAAAGTTTGGGAGCTGGTTAGTGTTCGCCAACTAAGTGCATGCATTCTCACCTCCCTCCTAAGGAAGGGCTGCCAAAGAGCAGTGGTAGGGAAATTGCCTCTCTATTTTCTCTCTATTCTGCATACCAGATATTGGCTCTCAGGCGCACTTACAAGCAATAGCAGAAGACATAAATTGCCTAGGCAGTCCACCAGCATATCTTGGAAGATGTTGGAAACTGCAAAAAGCATGGCAAACATTGTTTACGCAGAGTTGCAACTGAACTGTCAAAGAATTCCTGTGCCACAGCTTGACTTCTGTTTAACTAAAAACCAGATCTCACACTCTAACCATTGCACCACACAATTAGCATTTTTTCTTCTTTCTAGTGAGACTTCCTCATTGCCCATTCTCACTCTCCCTTTTCAGAGGTAAGCTGAGGGGAATTCCCATGGGGGAGGGCTTCACCTATTTTATTTTATCCTATGAATTTTTATTTTTCAGAATAGCATTCATATGATTTCTCATTTTGTGTCTGATGTGGTGTAGCCTGAACACAGGATTGCCACCTAGCCTCAACTAGGCCTAATTCATTTAGAAACTAGTTTTGTTGAAGGGTCATTTTTGCGAAGTACAAGATATGTAGCCCATGAAACACTCTGATGTGAAATTTGGAAGAGAAAAGCGGGGTGATTGAAATAGGGCAGAATACTTACTTACAGTACTTTTAGCAGATATAGTGAGTCTGGCTTAATTTTGAAATTAACCAAGGAAGTCCAAGTTGAATGAATAAAAAAAACAGAGACTTCCTTCTCTGTTTTTACTTTAAGCATTGGATTGGCAGATCTTGGCACCTGGGTCTTTAGGCTCAGGATGTGCCAGTTGCCAATTCCTGTGGAAATGCCTTCTGAAATCAGTGTCACAATGAATTTAGACTCCAAGAATGCCACAAAAAAGATCCCAAAGAAGCAGTGCATAATTAAGAATAAAATAGGCTTGACAATAAATACAATTATGAGTTTTCTAAAGTATATTGAGTTACTGTAGGGGTGCCTGTAC